TTTTGATAGGACACTTGTTGCTGGACATAAAATGCAACTGATTGGATTAATAGCCTAAACCACCACTTGGACAGCAATAGATCAACATGATGATTACCACTATTAATCAGATTAATCAGGAGTATGTCAGCTTCCTCCAGTATCATGCCCCAATGTGAACTATCACTGCTCACAGCCATGTCCAATACATTATCTAGTTCAGTGGAAGCTATGTGAAAGGGAGGGGTGAAGCAGTACAGTAAGTACTAAAGTGCAACTTTCCAATGGAGCGCTGGTGGACCAACACTCTGCTTTTTGTGCTAAATAATTGAGACTACCAAGTCTGCATGATTTTACTGATTGCTGTTGTAACCCACGAATACGAATACAGTTCTTCCTGGCAGAACTGCTTTAGCTCTGTCATATTCTTTAGATGTCTCATGTGTATGGCCCTCCTCAAGTCAATCCATTGCATCTCTATTGGGTTGAGGTCTGGGCTCTGACTTGTCCACTCCAAAAGGCAGATTTTGTTTTTCTGAAGCCATTCTGTTGTGGACTTGCTCCGGTGTTTTGGGTCGTTGTCCTGTTGAATCACCCACCCTCTACACAGTTTCAGCTGACGTACAGACATTCTCACATTATCCTGAAGAATTGTCTGATATGCTTGGGAATTCATCTTCCCCTCAATGATTCCAAGCTGGCCAGGCCCTGATGCAGCAAAGCAGGCCCAAATCATGATGTTTCCTCCACCATACTTTACGGTTGGGATGATGTTTTCATGATGATATACCCTGCCCTTTCTACGCCAGATGTAGTGCTGTGTGTTTTTTCCATATAGTTCAATCTTAGTTTCTTCCGTCCACAAAACATTTTGCCAATACCGCTGTGGAGTGTCATGTGCTCTTTTGCAAACTTCAGGTGTGCAGCAATGTTCTTTTTAGTAAGCAGTGTCTTCCTTCGTGGTGTCCTGCTGTGGATACCCTGCTTGTTCAGTGTTTTACGTATTGTAGACTCATGAACAGAGATGTGAGCAAGTTCCAATGATGCCTTCAAATCTGGCTGTCATTCGGGATTGTTTCTTTACCTCATTGATGAGTCTTCGTTGTGCTCTTGGTGTCTTCTTCTTCGTAGAGTAGGAACAGTTCCAAAGTGTCTCCATTTGTATATTGTTTGCCTAACTGTAGACTGGTGAATTTCTAAAGTCTTTGAAATAACTTTGTAACCCTTGCCAGCTTTATGTAAATCAACAATTCTTGATTGTAGCGCCTCTGAAAGCTCTTTTTGGCGAGGCATGGCTCATAAGCGTGTTCTTCTTGTCCAGAGCAAACTCCAAAAGTTTGAGGGGTTTTTATCAGTCAAAGTAGCTGTAGTCCACACCTCCAAACTTAATATCTTAACGAGACTCCAGGTGTGCTAAAACCTGACTCCAATTAGCTTTTTTGAGGTCATCAACTCAAGGGTTCACATACTTTTTCCACAAGCACTATGAGGTTTTTTGGGTTGTTCTCAATAAAGACATGAAAGATCAAATTTTATTTTATTATTTTAGACACATTTTATTTGTCAATACCCTTGACTTAGATGAAGATCAGATCACATTTTATGACAAATTTATTCAGAAAACCATGAAATTCCAAAAGGTTCACATACCATATAAGTTATTTTTTTGGCCTTTTGTTGGCTTTATTTATAGAGACAGCTGTAGGGAGACAGGAAAGGTGGGCGGGGAGAGAGGGGATGACACGCAGCAAAGGGCCGCAGGTCGGACCCGAACCCGGGCCACTGCAGCAACTCCGTATATGGGTTGCCAGCTCTACCGACAGGGCCAACCGGGCAGTCACACTGCAAATGTCTGTCTCTGTGTGTGTGTGTCTCTCTATCTATCTATCTCTATCTCTATCTCTATCTCTATCTCTCTCTCTCTCTCTCTCTCTCTCTCTCTCTCTCTCTCTCTCTCTCTCTCTCTAGCACCCCAACTGGTCGAGACACACGACCACCCACCTAGAGCCGAAGGGTCTGTCCTAGGTTTCTGCCTTTTAACAGGCAGTTTTTCCTTGCCCTTGTCGCCAAGTGCTTGCTCATGGTGGTACTGTTGGGTCTCTGTAAATAATGTAATAAAGAGTTCGGTCTAGACCTGCTCTATTTGAAAAGTGTCCTGAGATAACTTCTGTTATGAATTGGCGCTATACAAATAAAATTTTATTGAATTGAATTAAAGACAAATCATAGCCTATGTAGCATCGTATGGCATGGCATCCTTCTGTATATCCCTGACATAACATGACACATCTTTCCACATTTTTTCCACCTTCCTACTCAGTGGAGCTGATATGTGCCTCTGGAAATGTATATTCTAAGCTATTATCAAGTAAGAATTGTGAAAACAGTGTGTCATGTTCCTTGTCCAACTCAAACAAATAAGACCAGTATACCTTTAATAATACCAAATCATTATTGTGGAATGTTTCAAATATACCTGTGTTTACTAGTAACCTTACACATTTTTATTTAACCTATACCACAGTGATTTTCCATACAACATGGTGCTTGTTTACATGAGTTGTAATAATAAAATAAATATTAGTCTTCTAATATACAACATAAGATAGATAAATGGATAACTGGGAACAGATCCAGCATTGGCTGAGAGCCAGACTTCCGCACCATCTGCAAATATTTAGGGGAAACAGTTGTTTCACTCGGAGCTGATACATCCAAGGTGTACGTGTTACACTCGCTAAGGTGAAGACAATAACCTTAAAGGCATGAGTAGTCCCGTTATTCACTCTCTCTTTGTTTCTCCAGCACCATGTTTCTGTTTGGTTGGCCTCGGCCTGGTTATTAGTTGACAGTGGTTCACAAGATGGGTAATGACAGCCGGTCACTTCTGACTTAAAGGTCAAAGGTCATTGTGACCTAAAAATAGTTTTTAGCCATAATTTTAGAATGGATTGGTCGATTGCAGATTTCAAACACACACGCTGACAGGGACGTAGGGCTGGGTATCATTTAAAAATGTTAGATACCAGTACCGATACCAGTACCCTTAACACGATACCGATACCAATTGAGTACTTCATTCGATACTTTTTTTCAACATTAAAAAAAAAAAGCAATCGGTTGTGTAAATGTCACCACAGATTTGGACACAAATACATTTTGAAAGTGCTCAAATATTTATTAAATAACTGTACAAACATGTACAACCAAGAATTATAATATATAATTATATATATATATATTACCTGAAGTTATCGACAGTTACTCCGTGTTAGGGTTGCCATTTCCTTCACATAAAAAAGAGGACACTTTGCATACACGGGGACACGCAAGCAGATATTTGTTTGGTATGATCCGGTTTTATATTTTAATATGTTTTTCCACCAGATTACATAAAGGTGCATACACATACCACATAGCTAATAATAAATATACAAGATACAGCTCATGACAACGTGCCCTCCAATTCAGATTACATAGGTCTAATAAACATCATACAGAAACTGTTGTATAGGATGTTCAGATGTATAGGCTTTGCCTAGTGTAATGGTAAATTCAATTTCTTTGTGTCAGCCACTACAGATGCCCAACCTCCCCCTTCCTAACACAAGGTACCAGGTCCTTTTGTGTTTAAATTGTGATGTCTAGACTCAACTTTGCACCTAAATACAAGATCCTGCAGGATACCTCAGATGTAAAACACACCAACGGGGCGTCGGCACCGATACCTGCAATCGACAAAAGGGTGTGAAAACACTTCCTGTAGGGGCAGACCCCTGCAGCAGACAAAGGGATGTGAAAGAGGTGTTCCTCAGGTATAAATGTTTAGGTCTCCCCATGCTCTGGGTCTCTCTTCATCTTTAACGGCTCGCGTGTTGATTGACCTTTTCTTTGCAAAGAAAATAAAACCTTGTCGGCCGGCAGAAGTTCTCTATTTTATTCTTCATCAGCAGCAGAGACATTTCCACAACACTAGGCTTTGCCTTTACATATGAGTATGAGCATTTCAGAATTTCAGTCCAACAACCAACGTTAGCTCACGTTACGTTCTCTGTCGCTGAGAGCTTGATTGACAGCCTGGTGATAGCAACTGCGGTGATCGCATGGCTAATCAACACGTGGCTCATTTGAATATTAAAATCAATCATGTGTTGATAGGTCAAGACAGGAAAATGTATGTACTATTTGTACCCGGCTCCACAGGCGTGTAGTACAACCATACTTTTGAACGTTTTGCTGCCAGCATCTCGGAATGCTGACCAGCCAACTCCGCCACAGACTAAGCGCGCACACTTTACCGCCATACAAAGCAAAACCATAGAGACAGTCAATTTTTTCTTGATCTGAGTAGTGGGTACAAAAAGAACAGATTGCAGGTATCGTTTGACAGGCACAGTTTCGATACAACTTGGTACTACGTGTTGTTTCGGTCGATACCTGAAAGGTATCGAGTACCGATACCCAGCCCTACTGGGACGACACAATAAGTGAGCAATAACTAACACAGTATGGGCTTTCATCTTTCCACCTTATCCATTCTCCTATTCACTTCTGTAGGTGCTATGATAAATCACAGTGGTACCATACAGTGGTTTAATTGTAGCGTAATCAATTAATTTTGGTCCTCATTATAATAGAAAATGACTTTAATTAATATTAGTTCCTAGGGGCACCACCCTGAAATAAGGAAAAACTGAAGCCAATAATTAATTGATCAGTCTCATAAAAAACACTAAACTATTAACTCATTCGGTCACAGGAAGTGACCGAATGAGGTGACAGGAAGTGACCTGTCACAATAAAAGTCCAGTTAACCACACCAAATGAATGAGTTCATATTTAAAGGCCCCCCTTTACCTTATACTTCCTGCCTCATTCTGAATTTCGAGTGTCATCTGAATCATGTGATTACAAACTTATTGGAGCGCGCCTAGCTGACGATGATCCTGGGAGTGAGTTATACCTACAGCTCATGTTCAGCTCAGGGATCATTTGCATCTAAAAATGTCATGATAAAACAAAAGCACCACATTTTGTATCTGTGCTTCTCAAGAATCCATCCCTACGTAATAAACAAGTACACGTGTGATGTATATTCACTAGAATCATACATATCTTCAAAAAATTCCAGAAGTGAATTTGACATTAAAGTTTTGAGTTTTACAGATTTGGAGATTCCGCCTAAAACGTCCTTTACTAAAACCTCTGTAACTTTGCTTTGCTTCACTGTATTAAAATCAATCTTGGCACAGGTAATGTTCAGATATTACAATAATAAAAGTACAATGCAATCACACAAAATGAACAAATTGGTATTTAAAGGTCCCAGTGATTCCAACATATATTAGCTCAGGAGAGCTCAACTTTCAACACAGTTTAAATGGACAATTAACTCTAAATGACACCTTTACTTCATACATCATATTTAGTGAAAGAGACAGGTCATGTGCTGAGAATGGGATTGGGCAGAGGTGAAGAGGAAGGAGGTGTAGACAGGGAGGATAGAGATAAATCAGTTGTGTGACAAAAAGGTTTGGTCATAAAGCTGCCAGAGCTCTGTGCTGATGGAGACCTTGGAGGGAAGTGAACTCTGCTTTCCACAACTCCTCAACACCTCCTGCAAGAAGACTGGGCGTCCTCACTTTGAGACCATGCTGATTTACATTCTGCTGTACTCCATCTCTCTGCTCACTGTAGTTCTTAACCTGCTGGTCATCATCTCTATCTCCCACTTCAAGTAGATAATCATTCATTTATGAAATGGACAGAAAGTAATAAAAAAGTATTGGCTGATCTTAGGAAAAGAATAATTTTCGAACTAATCTAATTATATTTCAGTCTTTGCTCTATCTGTTTCTGTTTAAACAATGATTGATATTATAACTAATGATAACTATATTGCTGGTCTTCCTCTCCAGGCAGCTCCACACCCCCACCAACTTCATCCTCCTCTCTCTGGCTGTCTCAGATTTCTTCGTGGGTTTCGTAATGTGCTTTCAAATTATGTACTTAGATGGCTGCTGGTTCTTTGGTGACCTCATGTGTGCATTTGGTCAGTATCTAGCATACGTAGTTACCTCTGCCTCAGTAGGAACAATGGTGATCATATCTGTTGACCGCTATGTGGCTATTTGTCATCCTCTGCATTACTCCACCAAAGTCACAGAAAAAAGAGTTATAGTCTGTATTTGTCTGTGTTGGATATGGCCTCTAATCATTCAAGGTCTGAGTCTAAATGATGTCCTGGAACAACCAGGCAGGTATAACTCCTGTGTTGGAGAGTGCATTGTTTTTATTGACTACATAGCTGGACTTGTAGATCTTATTTTTTCCTTCATCATTCCCATTACTGTCATTGTAGTTCTGTATATGAGAGTTTTTGTGGTGGCTGTGTCTCAGGCTCGTGCCATGCGGTCACATATTGCAGCTGTCACACTCCAGAAATCAGTGAAAGTAACTGCTAAAAAATCTGAAATGAAAGCAGCCAGGACTCTTGGTGTTGTTGTAGTTGTGTTTCTAATATGTACCTGCCCATATTTTTGTGTTGCTCTTACAGGCCAAGATAACTTACTCAATGTTTCATCTGTTGGCTTCATAATATGTTTGCTCTATTTTAACTCCTGTCTAAACCCCATGATCTATGCCTTTTTTTATCCCTGGTTTAGAAAATCCATTAAGCTCATTGTTACATTAAAGATACTGCAGCCTGACTCCTGTGAGACCAACATACTGTAGAGAGACTCTGTGTAATGCCTGAGATTTGTCTTTGCATTAATAGAAAAATGTACTTGGTCATGGAAATTGCCATTCTGTTTATTAATATAACAGTGGAGCTATTTGGGGTTTGTCCATCTGCATGTATTTTGGACAAATCACCACGTCTAGGATTCACTGTACAGTCTGTAGGTATCAGGACTGTGACACATTTTTGTTATGCTGACTGTGTGCTTAAGCACAGTGGATGTGGAAGTTTTATATCCACATTAAAAGAAAAGTGTAGGCAGTTGTACCCTGTATTATACATGACTGAAGTCTGGGACCCACAGACATTAGCCGATACTTTGTACTGTATCTACCTGGAGATGTTGTGCCAGGCCGGGAATGCAGCCATTTTGTATGTGAACACCTTTAAATACAAGCCCATTTAAAGCTAAGAGTCAGCAATTAATAGTAACCTCAGAAGCTGAAGAAATACAGAATATATTTTTTATCATCATTAATTTGTGGCATACAGGCCAATTTAGCACAACCTTTGACTTATATTGTATTGTCTTTTACTTGTTCTGATTTCTTGCATTGTACAGGCTAGACAGAAAAGTTAATGAAAAAAGAAGGATATACTATATATATATAATATACACTCCATCTGCAAGGAATTGTTTGTCAGCTTTATACATTTTTGCACACAAGTTAAAAGGTCCAGTGTGTAACATTTAGAAGGATCTATTGTCACAAACTGACAACAATGCCAGTAAATCTTTCACAGTGGACCTTTAACTAAGTGATTCCATAAAAAACTCCTGAATCCTGACAAACATACATATCACTCGCAGACCAAAAGTTAATGTCGCATACAGCCTTGGAATTGAACACAAATAATGTGAGCACCACTACAGTTTGCATATTTTCCCTAACAATGATGACAACGACAGTCTGCTAGTCGGCCCACCACTGTGGTCCAGAGTGAAATATCTCAACAACCCCTGATTGATTGCCATGAAGTTGTGTATTTACATTTAAGTTGTACAATTGGTGAGATAATGCATTGGTGACGCTTTTGACTCAAAGGTCAAGGTAATAGTGACCTCAAAATTAACTTGACGAACAGTTTTAGTCATAACCCTTACCTTTACACTACCCAAAAGGTGAAAGGTCATCTCCACTCTGAAATCATAATGTCCTGGAAAAATACTTTTTTGTTGTTTATTGTCATTCAACACCATAACTCTGGAAAAGAAGGAGAGATTGCAGTGTTATTTCACAGTCAGTGAAGGGCCTGCTGTATTTTTCCCTTGCTGTTGTCATGAATGCCTTGGGAGCACCTGGGCAGTCTCCCAGGGGCATTTAAGGTCCAGCTACCTGTCATTCACTCTCTCTTTGTTTCTCTGGCACCATGTTTCTGTTTGGTTGGACTCTGCCTGGTTATTAGTTGGATTTTGCACCTTACTACACCCTCACCCATCACTTATTCCCTCATGCACCTACTGACACGCTGATGTTACTGATTATCACATCTTATTGTTTTCAACATATTTCCTGTATATTATTTGAGTTGCATTATGGTTAAGTAATACAATGGTACATCTTTAAGTTTAAAACAGTTTAAAGTTTAAAAGAGAGATTGAAGCGTTATTTCACAGTTATTGAAGGGCCTGCTGTATATTTCCTTTGCCCTGGGAGAACCTGGGCCGTCTCCCAGGGGCATTTAAGGTCCAGCCGTCCCGTTATTCACTCTCTCTTTGTTTCTCCGGCACCATGTTTCTGTTTGGTTGGACTCTGCCTGGTTATTAGTTGGATTCTGCAACTTACTACACCCTCACCCATCACTTATTTACTTATACAACTACTGACACACTGATATTACTAACTACCACATCTCATTATTAGTCTCTTCAGTATATTTCCTGTATGTTATTTGAGTTGCATTATGGTTAAGTTATACAATGGTACATGTTTAAGTTTAAAACTGTTTCCCTCCTATTTATGCATGGTCCACAAGACGGGTAATGACAGCCGGTCACTTTTGACTTAAAGGTCAAAGGTCATTTTGACCTAAAAATAGGTTTTTAGCCATAATTTAAGAATGGATTGGTCGATTGCAGATTTCAAACACACACGCTGACTGGGACGACACAATAAGTGAGCAATAACTAACACAGTATGGGCTTTCATCTTTCCACCTTATCCATTCTCCTATTCACTTCTGTAGGTGCTATGATAAATCACAGTGGTACCATACAGTGGTGTAATTGTAGCGTAATCAATTAATTTTGGTCCTCATTATAATAGAAAATGACTTTAATTAATATTAAAGTTCCTCGGGGCACCACCCTGAAATAAGGAAAAACTGTAGCCAATAATTAATTGATCAGTCTCATAAAAAACACTAAACTATTAATTCAGAAATTGGATTAACCCTAACCCATCGCGTGCCATCAAGCAGCATCAAGTAACGGTCACAGGAAGTGACCGAATGAGGTGACAGGAAGTGACCTGTCACAATAAAAGTCCAGTTAACCACACCAAATGAATGAGTTCTTATTTAAAGGCCCCCCTTTACCTTATACTTCCTGCCTCATTCTGAATTTCGAGTGTCATCTGAATCATGTGATTACAAACTTATTGGAGCGCGCCTAGCTGACGATGATCCTGGGAGTGAGTTATACCTACAGCTCATGTTCAGCTCAGGGATCATTTGCGTCTAAAAATGTCATGATAAAACAAAAGCACCACATTTTGTGTCTGTGCTTCTCAAGAATCCATCCCTACGTAATAAACAAGTACACGTGTGATGTATATTCACTAGAATCATACATATCTTCAAAAAATTCCAGAAGTGAATTTGACATTAAAGTTTTGAGTTTTACAGATTTGGAGATTCCGCCTAAAACGTCCTTTACTAAAACCTCTGTAACTTTGCTTTGCTTCACTGTATTAAAATCAATCTTGGCACAGGTAATGTTCAGATATTACAATAATAAAAGTACAATGCAATCACACAAAATGAACAAATTGGTATTTAAAGGTCCCAGTGATTCCAACATATATTAGCTCAGGAGAGCTCAACTTTCAACACAGTTTAAATGGACAATTAACTCTAAATGACACCTTTACTTCATACATCATATTTAGTGAAAGAGACAGGTCATGTGCTGAGAATGGGATTGGGCAGAGGTGAAGAGGAAGGAGGTGTAGACAGGGAGGATAGAGATAAATCAGTTGTGTGACAAAAAGGTTTGGTCATAAAGCTGCCAGAGCTCTGTGCTGATGGAGACCTTGGAGGGAAGTGAACTCTGCTTTCCACAACTCCTCAACACCTCCTGCAGGAAGATTGGGGGTGCTCACTTTGAGACCATGCTGATTAACATTCTGCTGTCCTCCATCTCTCTGATCACTGCAGTTCTTAACCTGCTGGTCATCATCTCTATCTCCCACTTCAAGTAGATAATCATTCATTTATGAAATGGACAGAAAGTAAAAAAAAAAAAAAATTTGGCTGATCTTAGGAAAAGAATAATTTTCGAACTAATCTAATTATATTTCAGTCTTTGCTCTATCTGTTTCTGTTTAAACAATGATTGATATTATAACTAATGATAACTATATTGCTGGTCTTCCTCTCCAGGCAGCTCCACACCCCCACCAACTTCATCCTCCTCTCTCTGGCTGTCTCAGATTTCTTCATGGGTTTCGTAATGTGCTTTCAAATGATGTACTTAGATGGCTGCTGGTTCTTTGGTGACCTCATGTGTGCATTTGGTCAGTATCTAGTATACGTAGTTACCTCTGCCTCAGTTGGAACCATGGTGATTATATCTGTTGACCGTTATGTTGCTATTTGTCATCCTCTGCATTACTCCACCAAAGTCACAGAAAAAAGAGTTATAGTCTGTATTTGTCTGTGTTGGATATGGCCTCTAATCATTCAAGGTCTGAGTCTAATTGATGTCCTGGAACAACCAGGCAGGTATAACTCCTGTGTTGGAGAGTGTATCATTGTTGTTAACTATATAGCTGGATTTGTAGATCTTATTTTTACCTTCATCGTTCCCATTACTGTCATTGTAGTTCTGTATATGAGAGTTTTTGTGGTGGCTGTGTCTCAGGCTCGTGCCATGCGGTCACATATTGCAGCTGTCACACTCCAGAAATCAGTGAAAGTAACTGCTAAAAAATCTGAAATGAAAGCAGCCAGGGCTCTTGGTGTTGTTGTAGTTGTGTTTCTAATATGTATCTGCCCATATTATTGTGTTGCTATTACAGGCCAAGATAACTTACTCAATGTTTCATCTGTTGGCTTGATAATATGTTTGCTGTGTTTAAACTCCTGTCTAAACCCCATGATCTATGCCTTTTTTATCCCTGGTTTAGAAAATCCATTAAGCTCATTGTTACATTAAAGATACTGCAGCCTGACTCCTGTGAGACCAACATACTGTAGAGAGACTCTGTGTAATGCCTGAGATTTGTCTTTGCATTAATAGAAAAATTTACTTGGTCATGGAAATTGCCATTCTGTTTATTAATATAACAGTGGAGCTATTTGGGGTTTGTCCATCTGCATGTATTTTGGACAAATCACCACGTCTAGGATTCACTGTACAGTCTGTAGGTATCAGGACTGTGACACATTTTTGTTATGCTGACTGTATGCTTAAGCACAGTGGATGTGGAAGTTTTATATCCACATTAAAAGAAAAGTGTAGGCAGTTGTACCCTGTATTATACATGACTGAAGTCTGGGACCCACAGACATTAGCCGATACTTTGTATTGTATCTACCTGGAGATGTTGTGCCAGGCCTGTAATGCAGCCATTTTGTATGTGAACACCTTTAAATACAAGCCCATTTAAAGCTAAGAGTCAGCAATTAATAGTAACCTCAGAAGCTGAAGAAATACAGAATATATTTTTTATCATCATTAATTTGTGGCATACAGGCCAATTTAGCACAACCTTTGACTTATATTATATTGTCTTTTACTTGTTCTGATTTCTTGCATTGTACAGGCTAGAAGAGAAAAGTTAATGAAAAAAGAAGGATATACTATATATAATATACACTCCATCTGCAAGGAATTGTTTATCAGCTTCATAAATTAAAAAAGGTCCAGTGTGTAACATTTAGAAGGATCTATTGTCACAAACTGACAACAATGCCAGTAAATCTTTCACAGTGGACCTTTAACTAAGTGATTCCATAAAAAACTCCTGAATCCTGACAAACATACATATCACTCGCAGACCAAAAGTTAATGTCGCATACAGCCTTGGAATTGAACACAAATAATGTGAGCACCACTACAGTTTGCATATTTTCCCTAACAATGATGACAACGACAGTCTGCTAGTCGGCCCACCACTGTGGTCCAGAGTGAAATATCTCAACAACCCCTGATTGATTGCCATGAAGTTGTGTATTTACATTTAAGTTGTACAATTGGTGAGATAATGCATTGGTGACGCTTTTGACTCAAAGGTCAAGGTAATAGTGACCTCAAAATTAACTTGACGAACAGTTTTAGTCATAACCCTTACCTTTACACTACCCAAAAGGTGAAAGGTCATCTCCACTCTGAAATCATAATGTCCTGGAAAAATACTTTTTTGTTGTTTATTGTCATTCAACACCATAACTCTGGAAAAGAAGGAGAGATTGCAGTGTTATTTCACAGTCAGTGAAGGGCCTGCTGTATTTTTCCCTTGCTGTTGTCATGAATGCCTTGGGAGCACCTGGGCAGTCTCCCAGGGGCATTTAAGGTCCAGCTACCTGTCATTCACTCTCTCTTTGTTTCTCTGGCACCATGTTTCTGTTTGGTTGGACTCTGCCTGGTTATTAGTTGGATTTTGCACCTTACTACACCCTCACCCATCACTTATTCCCTCATGCACCTACTGACACGCTGATGTTACTGATTATCACATCTTATTGTTTTCAACATATTTCCTGTATATTATTTGAGTTGCATTATGGTTAAGTAATACAATGGTACATCTTTAAGTTTAAAACAGTTTAAAGTTTAAAAGAGAGATTGAAGCGTTATTTCACAGTTATTGAAGGGCCTGCTGTATATTTCCTTTGCCCTGGGAGAACCTGGGCCGTCTCCCAGGGGCATTTAAGGTCCAGCCGTCCCGTTATTCACTCTCTCTTTGTTTCTCCGGCACCATGTTTCTGTTTGGTTGGACTCTGCCTGGTTATTAGTTGGATTCTGCAACTTACTACACCCTCACCCATCACTTATTTACTTATACAACTACTGACACACTGATATTACTAACTACCACATCTCATTATTAGTCTCTTCAGTATATTTCCTGTATGTTATTTGAGTTGCATTATGGTTAAGTTATACAATGGTACATGTTTAAGTTTAAAACTGTTTCCCTCCTATTTATGCATGGTCCACAAGACGGGTAATGACAGCCGGTCACTTTTGACTTAAAGGTCAAAGGTCATTTTGACCTAAAAATAGGTTTTTAGCCATAATTTAAGAATGGATTGGTCGATTGCAGATTTCAAACACACACGCTGACTGGGACGACACAATAAGTGAGCAATAACTAACACAGTATGGGCTTTCATCTTTCCACCTTATCCATTCTCCTATTCACTTCTGTAGGTGCTATGATAAATCACAGTGGTACCATACAGTGGTGTAATTGTAGCGTAATCAATTAATTTTGGTCCTCATTATAATAGAAAATGACTTTAATTAATATTAAAGTTCCTCGGGGCACCACCCTGAAATAAGGAAAAACTGAAGCCAATAATTAATTGATCAGTCTCATAAAAAACACTAAACTATTAATTCAGAAATTGGATTAACCCTAACCCATCGCGTGCCATCAAGCAGCATCAAGTAACGGTCACAGGAAGTGACCGAATGAGGTGACAGGAAGTGACCTGTCACAATAAAAGTCCAGTTAACCACACCAAATGAATGAGTTCATATTTAAAGGCCCCCCTTTACCTTATACTTCCTGCCTCATTCTGAATTTCGAGTGTCATCTGAATCATGTGATTACAAACTTATTGGAGCGCGCCTAGCTGACGATGATCCTGGGAGTGAGTTATACCTACAGCTCATGTTCAGCTCAGGGATCATTTGCGTCTAAAAATGTCATGATAAAACAAAAGCACCACATTTTGTGTCTGTGCTTCTCAAGAATCCATCCCTACGTAATAAACAAGTACACGTGTGATGTATATTCACTAGAATCATACATATCTTCAAAAAATTCCAGAAGTGAATTTGACATTAAAGTTTTGAGTTTTACAGATTTGGAGATTCCGCCTAAAACGTCCTTTACTAAAACCTCTGTAACTTTGCTTTGCTTCACTGTATTAAAATCAATCTTGGCACAGGTAATGTTCAGATATTACAATAATAAAAGTACAATGCAATCACACAAAATGAACAAATTGGTATTTAAAGGTCCCAGTGATTCCAACATATATTAGCTCAGGAGAGCTCAACTTTCAACACAGTTTAAATGGACAATTAACTCTAAATGACACCTTTACTTCATACATCATATTTAGTGAAAGAGACAGGTCATGTGCTGAGAATGGGATTGGGCAGAGGTGAAGAGGAAGGAGGTGTAGACAGGGAGGATAGAGATAAATCAGTTGTGTGACAAAAAGGTTTGGTCATAAAGCTGCCAGAGCTCTGTGCTGATGGAGACCTTGGAGGGAAGTGAACTCTGCTTTCCACAACTCCTCAACACCTCCTGCAGGAAGATTGGGGGTGCTCACTTTGAGACCATGCTGATTAACATTCTGCTGTCCTCCATCTCTCTGATCACTGCAGTTCTTAACCTGCTGGTCATCATCTCTATCTCCCACTTCAAGTAGATAATCATTCATTTATGAAATGGACAGAAAGTAAAAAAAAAAAAAATTTGGCTGATCTTAGGAAAAGAATAATTTTCGAACTAATCTAATTATATTTCAGTCTTTGCTCTATCTGTTTCTGTTTAAACAATGATTGATATTATAACTAATGATAACTATATTGCTGGTCTTCCTCTCCAGGCAGCTCCACACCCCCACCAACTTCATCCTCCTCTCTCTGGCTGTCTCAGATTTCTTCATGGGTTTCGTAATGTGCTTTCAAATTATGTACTTAGATGGCTGCTGGTTCTTTGGTGACCTCATGTGTGCATTTGGTCAGTATCTAGTATACGTAGTTACCTCTGCCTCAGTTGGAACCATGGTGATTATATCTGTTGACCGTTATGTTGCTATTTGTCATCCTCTGCATTACTCCACCAAAGTCACAGAAAAAAGAGTTATAGTCTGTATTTGTCTGTGTTGGATATGGCCTCTAATCATTCAAGGTCTGAGTCTAATTGATGTCCTGGAACAACCAGGCAGGTATAACTCCTGTGTTGGAGAGTGTATCATTGTTGTTAACTATATAGCTGGATTTGTAGATCTTATTTTTACCTTCATCGTTCCCATTACTGTCATTGTAGTTCTGTATATGAGAGTTTTTGTGGTGGCTGTGTCTCAGGCTCGTGCCATGCGGTCACATATTGCAGCTGTCACACTCCAGAAATCAGTGAAAGTAACTGCTAAAAAATCTGAAATGAAAGCAGCCAGGGCTCTTGGTGTTGTTGTAGTTGTGTTTCTAATATGTATCTGCCCATATTATTGTGTTGCTATTACAGGCCAAGATAACTTACTCAATGTTTCATCTGTTGGCTTGATAATATGTTTGCTGTGTTTAAACTCCTGTCTAAACCCCATGATCTATGCCTTTTTTTATCCCTGGTTTAGAAAATCCATTAAGCTCATTGTTACATTAAAGATACTGCAGCCTGACTCCTGTGAGACCAACATACTGTAGAGAGACTCTGTGTAATGCCTGAGATTTGTCTTTGCATTAATAGAAAAATTTACTTGGTCATGGAAATTGCCATTCTGTTTATTAATATAACAGTGGAGCTATTTGGGGTTTGTCCATCTGCATGTATTTTGGACAAATCACCACGTCTAGGATTCACTGTACAGTCTGTAGGTATCAGGACTGTGACACATTTTTGTTATGCTGACTGTATGCTTAAGCACAGTGGATGTGGAAGTTTTATATCCACATTAAAAGAAAAGTGTAGGCAGTTGTACCCTGTATTATACATGACTGAAGTCTGGGACCCACAGACATTAGCCGATACTTTGTATTGTATCTACCTGGAGATGTTGTGCCAGGCCTGTAATGCAGCCATTTTGTATGTGAACACCTTTAAATACAAGCCCATTTAAAGCTAAGAGTCAGCAATTAATAGTAACCTCAGAAGCTGAAGAAATACAGAATATATTTTTTATCATCATTAATTTGTGGCATACAGGCCAATTTAGCACAACCTTTGACTTATATTATATTGTCTTTTACTTGTTCTGATTTCTTGCATTGTACAGGCTAGAAGAGAAAAGTTAATGAAAAAAGAAGGATATACTATATATAATATACACTCCATCTGCAAGGAATTGTTTATCAGCTTCATAAATTAAAAAAGGTCCAGTGTGTAACATTTAGAAGGCTCTATTGTCACAAACTGACAACAATGCCAGTAAATCTTTCACAGTGGACCTTTAACTAAGTGATTCCATAAAAAACTCCTGAATCCTGACAAACATACATATCACTCGCAGACCAAAAGTTAATGTCGCATACAGCCTTGGAATTGAACACAAATAATGTGAGCACCACTACAGTTTGCATATTTTCCCTAACAATGATGACAACGACAGTCTGCTAGTCGGCCCACCACTGTGGTCCAGAGTGAAATATCTCAACAACCCCTGATTGATTGCCATGAAGTTGTGTATTTACATTTAAGTTGTACAATTGGTGAGATAATGCATTGGTGACGCTTTTGACTCAAAGGTCAAGGTAATAGTGACCTCAAAATTAACTTGACGAACAGTTTTAGTCATAACCCTTACCTTTACACTACCCAAAAGGTGAAAGGTCATCTCCACTCTGAAATCATAATGTCCTGGAAAAATACTTTTTTGTTGTTTATTGTCATTCAACACCATAACTCTGGAAAAGAAGGAGAGATTGCAGTGTTATTTCACAGTCAGTGAAGGGCCTGCTGTATTTTTCCCTTGCTGTTGTCATGAATGCCTTGGGAGCACCTGGGCAGTCTCCCAGGGGCATTTAAGGTCCAGCTACCTGTCATTCACTCTCTCTTTGTTTCTCTGGCACCATGTTTCTGTTTGGTTGGACTCTGCCTGGTTATTAGTTGGATTTTGCACCTTACTACACCCTCACCCATCACTTATTCCCTCATGCACCTACTGACACGCTGATGTTACTGATTATCACATCTTATTGTTTTCAACATATTTCCTGTATATTATTTGAGTTGCATTATGGTTAAGTAATACAATGGTACATCTTTAAGTTTAAAACAGTTTAAAGTTTAAAAGAGAGATTGAAGCGTTATTTCACAGTTATTGAAGGGCCTGCTGTATATTTCCTTTGCCCTGGGAGAACCTGGGCCGTCTCCCAGGGGCATTTAAGGTCCAGCCGTCCCGTTATTCACTCTCTCTTTGTTTCTCCGGCACCATGTTTCTGTTTGGTTGGACTCTGCCTGGTTATTAGTTGGATTCTGCAACTTACTACACCCTCACCCATCACTTATTTACTTATACAACTACTGACACACTGATATTACTAACTACCACATCTCATTATTAGTCTCTTCAGTATATTTCCTGTATGTTATTTGAGTTGCATTATGGTTAAGTTATACAATGGTACATGTTTAAGTTTAAAACGGTTTCCCTCCTATTTATGCATGGTCCACAAGACGGGTAATGACAGCCGGTCACTTTTGACTTAAAGGTCAAAGGTCATTTTGACCTAAAAATAGGTTTTTAGCCATAATTTAAGAATGGATTGGTCGATTGCAGATTTCAAACACACACGCTGACTGGGACGACACAATAAGTGAGCAATAACTAACACAGTATGGGCTTTCATCTTTCCACCTTATCCATTCTCCTATTCACTTCTGTAGGTGCTATGATAAATCACAGTGGTACCATACAGTGGTGTAATTGTAGCGTAATCAATTAATTTTGGTCCTCATTATAATAGAAAATGACTTTAATTAATATTAAAGTTCCTCGGGGCACCACCCTGAAATAAGGAAAAACTGAAGCCAATAATTAATTGATCAGTCTCATAAAAAACACTAAACTATTAATTCAGAAATTGGATTAACCCTAACCCATCGCGTGCCATCAAGCAGCATCAAGTAACGGTCACAGGAAGTGACCGAATGAGGTGACAGGAAGTGACCTGTCACAATAAAAGTCCAGTTAACCACACCAAATGAATGAGTTCATATTTAAAGGCCCCCCTTTACCTTATACTTCCTGCCTCATTCTGAATTTCGAGTGTCATCTGAATCATGTGATTACAAACTTATTGGAGCGCGCCTAGCTGACGATGATCCTGGGAGTGAGTTATACCTACAGCTCATGTTCAGCTCAGGGATCATTTGCGTCTAAAAATGTCATGATAAAACAAAAGCACCACATTTTGTGTCTGTGCTTCTCAAGAATCCATCCCTACGTAATAAACAAGTACACGTGTGATGTATATTCACTAGAATCATACATATCTTCAAAAAATTCCAGAAGTGAATTTGACATTAAAGTTTTGAGTTTTACAGATTTGGAGATTCCGCCTAAAACGTCCTTTACTAAAACCTCTGTAACTTTGCTTTGCTTCACTGTATTAAAATCAATCTTGGCACAGGTAATGTTCAGATATTACAATAATAAAAGTACAATGCAATCACACAAAATGAACAAATTGGTATTTAAAGGTCCCAGTGATTCCAACATATATTAGCTCAGGAGAGCTCAACTTTCAACACAGTTTAAATGGACAATTAACTCTAAATGACACCTTTACTTCATACATCATATTTAGTGAAAGAGACAGGTCATGTGCTGAGAATGGGATTGGGCAGAGGTGAAGAGGAAGGAGGTGTAGACAGGGAGGATAGAGATAAATCAGTTGTGTGACAAAAAGGTTTGGTCATAAAGCTGCCAGAGCTCTGTGCTGATGGAGACCTTGGAGGGAAGTGAACTCTGCTTTCCACAACTCCTCAACACTTCCTGCAGGAAGATTGGGGGTGCTCACTTTGAGACCATGCTGATTAACATTCTGCTGTCCTCCATCTCTCTGATCACTGCAGTTCTTAACCTGCTGGTCATCATCTCTATCTCCCACTTCAAGTAGATAATCATTCATTTATGAAATGGACAGAAAGTAAAAAAAAAAAAAATTTGGCTGATCTTAGGAAAAGAATAATTTTCGAACTAATCTAATTATATTTCAGTCTTTGCTCTATCTGTTTCTGTTTAAACAATGATTGATATTATAACTAATGATAACTATATTGCTGGTCTTCCTCTCCAGGCAGCTCCACACCCCCACCAACTTCATCCTCCTCTCTCTGGCTGTCTCAGATTTCTTCGTGGGTTTCATAATGTGCTTTCAAATTATGTACTTAGATGGCTGCTGGTTCTTTGGTGACCTCATGTGTGCATTTGGTCAGTATCTAGTATACGTAGTTACCTCTGCCTCAGTTGGAACCATGGTGATTATATCTGTTGACCGTTATGTTGCTATTTGTCATCCTCTGCATTACTCCACCAAAGTCACAGAAAAAAGAGTTATAGTCTGTATTTGTCTGTGTTGGATATGGCCTCTAATCATTCAAGGTCTGAGTCTAATTGATGTCCTGGAACAACCAGGCAGGTATAACTCCTGTGTTGGAGAGTGTATCATTGTTGTTAACTATATAGCTGGATTTGTAGATCTTATTTTTACCTTCATCGTTCCCATTACTGTCATTGTAGTTCTGTATATGAGAGTTTTTGTGGTGGCTGTGTCTCAGGCTCGTGCCATGCGGTCACATATTGCAGCTGTCACACTCCAGAAATCAGTGAAAGTAACTGCTAAAAAATCTGAAATGAAAGCAGCCAGGGCTCTTGGTGTTGTTGTAGTTGTGTTTCTAATATGTATCTGCCCATATTATTGTGTTGCTATTACAGGCCAAGATAACTTACTCAATGTTTCATCTGTTGGCTTGATAATATGTTTGCTGTGTTTAAACTCCTGTCTAAACCCCATGATCTATGCCTTTTTTATCCCTGGTTTAGAAAATCCATTAAGCTCATTGTTACATTAAAGATACTGCAGCCTGACTCCTGTGAGACCAACATACTGTAGAGAGACTCTGTGTAATGCCTGAGATTTGTCTTTGCATTAATAGAAAAATTTACTTGGTCATGGAAATTGCCATTCTGTTTATTAATATAACAGTGGAGCTATTTGGGGTTTGTCCATCTGCATGTATTTTGGACAAATCACCACGTCTAGGATTCACTGTACAGTCTGTAGGTATCAGGACTGTGACACATTTTTGTTATGCTGACTGTATGCTTAAGCACAGTGGATGTGGAAGTTTTATATCCACATTAAAAGAAAAGTGTAGGCAGTTGTACCCTGTATTATACATGACTGAAGTCTGGGACCCACAGACATTAGCCGATACTTTGTATTGTATCTACCTGGAGATGTTGTGCCAGGCCTGTAATGCAGCCATTTTGTATGTGAACACCTTTAAATACAAGCCCATTTAAAGCTAAGAGTCAGCAATTAATAGTAACCTCAGAAGCTGAAGAAATACAGAATATATTTTTTATCATCATTAATTTGTGGCATACAGGCCAATTTAGCACAACCTTTGACTTATATTATATTGTCTTTTACTTGTTCTGATTTCTTGCATTGTACAGGCTAGAAGAGAAAAGTTAATGAAAAAAGAAGGATATACTATATATAATATACACTCCATCTGCAAGGAATTGTTTATCAGCTTCATAAATTAAAAAAGGTCCAGTGTGTAACATTTAGAAGGATCTATTGTCACAAACTGACAACAATGCCAGTAAATCTTTCACAGTGGACCTTTAACTAAGTGATTCCATAAAAAACTCCTGAATCCTGACAAACATACATATCACTCGCAGACCAAAAGTTAATGTCGCATACAGCCTTGGAATTGAACACAAATAATGTGAGCACCACTACAGTTTGCATATTTTCCCTAACAATGATGACAACGACAGTCTGCTAGTCGGCCCACCACTGTGGTCCAGAGTGAAATATCTCAACAACCCCTGATTGATTGCCATGAAGTTGTGTATTTACATTTAAGTTGTACAATTGGTGAGATAATGCATTGGTGACGCTTTTGACTCAAAGGTCAAGGTAATAGTGACCTCAAAATTAACTTGACGAACAGTTTTAGTCATAACCCTTACCTTTACACTACCCAAAAGGTGAAAGGTCATCTCCACTCTGAAATCATAATGTCCTGGAAAAATACTTTTTTGTTGTTTATTGTCATTCAACACCATAACTCTGGAAAAGAAGGAGAGATTGCAGTGTTATTTCACAGTCAGTGAAGGGCCTGCTGTATTTTTCCCTTGCTGTTGTCATGAATGCCTTGGGAGCACCTGGGCAGTCTCCCAGGGGCATTTAAGGTCCAGCTACCTGTCATTCACTCTCTCTTTGTTTCTCTGGCACCATGTTTCTGTTTGGTTGGACTCTGCCTGGTTATTAGTTGGATTTTGCACCTTACTACACCCTCACCCATCACTTATTCCCTCATGCACCTACTGACACGCTGATGTTACTGATTATCACATCTTATTGTTTTCAACATATTTCCTGTATATTATTTGAGTTGCATTATGGTTAAGTAATACAATGGTACATCTTTAAGTTTAAAACAGTTTAAAGTTTAAAAGAGAGATTGAAGCGTTATTTCACAGTTATTGAAGGGCCTGCTGTATATTTATTTTGCCCTGGGAGCACCTGGGCAGTCTCCCAGGGGCATTTAAGGTCCAGCCGTCCCGTTATTCACTCTCTCTTTGTTTCTCCGGCATTATGTTTCTGTTTGGTTGGCCTCTGCCTGGTTATTAGTTGGATTCTGCAACTTACTACACCCTCACCCATCACTTATTTACTTATACAACTACTGACACACTGATATTACTAACTACCACATCTCATTATTAGTCTCTTCAGTATATTTCCTGTATGTTATTTGAGTTGCATTATGGTTAAGTTATACAATGGTACATGTTTAAGTTTAAAACTGTTTCCCTCCTATTTATGCATGGTCCACAAGACGGGTAATGACAGCCGGTCACTTTTGACTTAAAGGTCAAAGGTCATTTTGACCTAAAAATAGGTTTTTAGCCATAATTTAAGAATGGATTGGTCGATTGCAGATTTCAAACACACACGCTGACTGGGACGACACAATAAGTGAGCAATAACTAACACAGTATGGGCTTTCATCTTTCCACCTTATCCATTCTCCTATTCACTTCTGTAGGTGCTATGATAAATCACAGTGGTACCATACAGTGGTGTAATTGTAGCGTAATCAATTAATTTTGGTCCTCATTATAATAGAAAATGACTTTAATTAATATTAAAGTTCCTCGGGGCACCACCCTGAAATAAGGAAAAACTGTAGCCAATAATTAATTGATCAGTCTCATAAAAAACACTAAACTATTAATTCAGAAATTGGATTAACCCTAACCCATCGCGTGCCATCAAGCAGCATCAAGTAACGGTCACAGGAAGTGACCGAATGAGGTGACAGGAAGTGACCTGTCACAATAAAAGTCCAGTTAACCACACCAAATGAATGAGTTCATATTTAAAGGCCCCCCTTTACCTTATACTTCCTGCCTCATTCTGAATTTCGAGTGTCATCTGAATCATGTGATTACAAACTTATTGGAGCGCGCCTAGCTGACGATGATCCTGGGAGTGAGTTATACCTACAGCTCATGTTCAGCTCAGGGATCATTTGCGTCTAAAAATGTCATGATAAAACAAAAGCACCACATTTTGTGTCTGTGCTTCTCAAGAATCCATCCCTACGTAATAAACAAGTACACGTGTGATGTATATTCACTAGAATCATACATATCTTCAAAAAATTCCAGAAGTGAATTTGACATTAAAGTTTTGAGTTTTACAGATTTGGAGATTCCGCCTAAAACGTCCTTTACTAAAACCTCTGTAACTTTGCTTTGCTTCACTGTATTAAAATCAATCTTGGCACAGGTAATGTTCAGATATTACAATAATAAAAGTACAATGCAATCACACAAAATGAACAAATTGGTATTTAAAGGTCCCAGTGATTCCAACATATATTAGCTCAGGAGAGCTCAACTTTCAACACAGTTTAAATGGACAATTAACTCTAAATGACACCTTTACTTCATACATCATATTTAGTGAAAGAGACAGGTCATGTGCTGAGAATGGGATTGGGCAGAGGTGAAGAGGAAGGAGGTGTAGACAGGGAGGATAGAGATAAATCAGTTGTGTGACAAAAAGGTTTGGTCATAAAGCTGCCAGAGCTCTGTGCTGATGGAGACCTTGGAGGGAAGTGAACTCTGCTTTCCACAACTCCTCAACACCTCCTGCAGGAAGATTGGGGGTGCTCACTTTGAGACCATGCTGATTAACATTCTGCTGTCCTCCATCTCTCTGATCACTGCAGTTCTTAACCTGCTGGTCATCATCTCTATCTCCCACTTCAAGTAGATAATCATTCATTTATGAAATGGACAGAAAGTAAAAAAAAAAAAAATTTGGCTGATCTTAGGAAAAGAATAATTTTCGAACTAATCTAATTATATTTCAGTCTTTGCTCTATCTGTTTCTGTTTAAACAATGATTGATATTATAACTAATGATAACTATATTGCTGGTCTTCCTCTCCAGGCAGCTCCACACCCCCACCAACTTCATCCTCCTCTCTCTGGCTGTCTCAGATTTCTTCATGGGTTTCGTAATGTGCTTTCAAATGATGTACTTAGATGGCTGCTGGTTCTTTGGTGACCTCATGTGTGCATTTGGTCAGTATCTAGTATACGTAGTTACCTCTGCCTCAGTTGGAACCATGGTGATTATATCTGTTGACCGTTATGTTGCTATTTGTCATCCTCTGCATTACTCCACCAAAGTCACAGAAAAAAGAGTTATAGTCTGTATTTGTCTGTGTTGGATATGGCCTCTAATCATTCAAGGTCTGAGTCTAATTGATGTCCTGGAACAACCAGGCAGGTATAACTCCTGTGTTGGAGAGTGTATCATTGTTGTTAACTATATAGCTGGATTTGTAGATCTTATTTTTACCTTCATCGTTCCCATTACTGTCATTGTAGTTCTGTATATGAGAGTTTTTGTGGTGGCTGTGTCTCAGGCTCGTGCCATGCGGTCACATATTGCAGCTGTCACACTCCAGAAATCAGTGAAAGTAACTGCTAAAAAATCTGAAATGAAAGCAGCCAGGGCTCTTGGTGTTGTTGTAGTTGTGTTTCTAATATGTATCTGCCCATATTATTGTGTTGCTATTACAGGCCAAGATAACTTACTCAATGTTTCATCTGTTGGCTTGATAATATGTTTGCTGTGTTTAAACTCCTGTCTAAACCCCATGATCTATGCCTTTTTTATCCCTGGTTTAGAAAATCCATTAAGCTCATTGTTACATTAAAGATACTGCAGCCTGACTCCTGTGAGACCAACATACTGTAGAGAGACTCTGTGTAATGCCTGAGATTTGTCTTTGCATTAATAGAAAAATTTACTTGGTCATGGAAATTGCCATTCTGTTTATTAATATAACAGTGGAGCTATTTGGGGTTTGTCCATCTGCATGTATTTTGGACAAATCACCACGTCTAGGATTCACTGTACAGTCTGTAGGTATCAGGACTGTGACACATTTTTGTTATGCTGACTGTATGCTTAAGCACAGTGGATGTGGAAGTTTTATATCCACATTAAAAGAAAAGTGTAGGCAGTTGTACCCTGTATTATACATGACTGAAGTCTGGGACCCACAGACATTAGCCGATACTTTGTATTGTATCTACCTGGAGATGTTGTGCCAGGCCTGTAATGCAGCCATTTTGTATGTGAACACCTTTAAATACAAGCCCATTTAAAGCTAAGAGTCAGCAATTAATAGTAACCTCAGAAGCTGAAGAAATACAGAATATATTTTTTATCATCATTAATTTGTGGCATACAGGCCAATTTAGCACAACCTTTGACTTATATTATATTGTCTTTTACTTGTTCTGATTTCTTGCATTGTACAGGCTAGAAGAGAAAAGTTAATGAAAAAAGAAGGATATACTATATATAATATACACTCCATCTGCAAGGAATTGTTTATCAGCTTCATAAATTAAAAAAGGTCCAGTGTGTAACATTTAGAAGGATCTATTGTCACAAACTGACAACAATGCCAGTAAATCTTTCACAGTGGACCTTTAACTAAGTGATTCCATAAAAAACTCCTGAATCCTGACAAACATACATATCACTCGCAGACCAAAAGTTAATGTCGCATACAGCCTTGGAATTGAACACAAATAATGTGAGCACCACTACAGTTTGCATATTTTCCCTAACAATGATGACAACGACAGTCTGCTAGTCGGCCCACCACTGTGGTCCAGAGTGAAATATCTCAACAACCCCTGATTGATTGCCATGAAGTTGTGTATTTACATTTAAGTTGTACAATTGGTGAGATAATGCATTGGTGACGCTTTTGACTCAAAGGTCAAGGTAATAGTGACCTCAAAATTAACTTGACGAACAGTTTTAGTCATAACCCTTACCTTTACACTACCCAAAAGGTGAAAGGTCATCTCCACTCTGAAATCATAATGTCCTGGAAAAATACTTTTTTGTTGTTTATTGTCATTCAACACCATAACTCTGGAAAAGAAGGAGAGATTGCAGTGTTATTTCACAGTCAGTGAAGGGCCTGCTGTATTTTTCCCTTGCTGTTGTCATGAATGCCTTGGGAGCACCTGGGCAGTCTCCCAGGGGCATTTAAGGTCCAGCTACCTGTCATTCACTCTCTCTTTGTTTCTCTGGCACCATGTTTCTGTTTGGTTGGACTCTGCCTGGTTATTAGTTGGATTTTGCACCTTACTACACCCTCACCCATCACTTATTCCCTCATGCACCTACTGACACGCTGATGTTACTGATTATCACATCTTATTGTTTTCAACATATTTCCTGTATATTATTTGAGTTGCATTATGGTTAAGTTAATACAATGGTACATCTTTAAGTTTAAAACAGTTTAAAGTTTAAAAGAGAGATTGAAGCGTTATTTCACAGTTATTGAAGGGCCTGCTGTATATTTCCTTTGCCCTGGGAGAACCTGGGCCGTCTCCCAGGGGCATTTAAGGTCCAGCCGTCCCGTTATTCACTCTCTCTTTGTTTCTCCGGCACCATGTTTCTGTTTGGTTGGACTCTGCCTGGTTATTAGTTGGATTCTGCAACTTACTACACCCTCACCCATCACTTATTTACTTATACAACTACTGACACACTGATATTACTAACTACCACATCTCATTATTAGTCTCTTCAGTATATTTCCTGTATGTTATTTGAGTTGCATTATGGTTAAGTTATACAATGGTACATGTTTAAGTTTAAAACGGTTTCCCTCCTATTTATGCATGGTCCACAAGACGGGTAATGACAGCCGGTCACTTTTGACTTAAAGGTCAAAGGTCATTTTGACCTAAAAATAGGTTTTTAGCCATAATTTAAGAATGGATTGGTCGATTGCAGATTTCAAACACACACGCTGACTGGGACGACACAATAAGTGAGCAATAACTAACACAGTATGGGCTTTCATCTTTCCACCTTATCCATTCTCCTATTCACTTCTGTAGGTGCTATGATAAATCACAGTGGTACCATACAGTGGTGTAATTGTAGCGTAATCAATTAATTTTGGTCCTCATTATAATAGAAAATGACTTTAATTAATATTAAAGTTCCTCGGGGCACCACCCTGAAATAAGGAAAAACTGAAGCCAATAATTAATTGATCAGTCTCATAAAAAACACTAAACTATTAATTCAGAAATTGGATTAACCCTAACCCATCGCGTGCCATCAAGCAGCATCAAGTAACGGTCACAGGAAGTGACCGAATGAGGTGACAGGAAGTGACCTGTCACAATAAAAGTCCAGTTAACCACACCAAATGAATGAGTTCATATTTAAAGGCCCCCCTTTACCTTATACTTCCTGCCTCATTCTGAATTTCGAGTGTCATCTGAATCATGTGATTACAAACTTATTGGAGCGCGCCTAGCTGACGATGATCCTGGGAGTGAGTTATACCTACAGCTCATGTTCAGCTCAGGGATCATTTGCGTCTAAAAATGTCATGATAAAACAAAAGCACCACATTTTGTGTCTGTGCTTCTCAAGAATCCATCCCTACGTAATAAACAAGTACACGTGTGATGTATATTCACTAGAATCATACATATCTTCAAAAAATTCCAGAAGTGAATTTGACATTAAAGTTTTGAGTTTTACAGATTTGGAGATTCCGCCTAAAACGTCCTTTACTAAAACCTCTGTAACTTTGCTTTGCTTCACTGTATTAAAATCAATCTTGGCACAGGTAATGTTCAGATATTACAATAATAAAAGTACAATGCAATCACACAAAATGAACAAATTGGTATTTAAAGGTCCCAGTGATTCCAACATATATTAGCTCAGGAGAGCTCAACTTTCAACACAGTTTAAATGGACAATTAACTCTAAATGACACCTTTACTTCATACATCATATTTAGTGAAAGAGACAGGTCATGTGCTGAGAATGGGATTGGGCAGAGGTGAAGAGGAAGGAGGTGTAGACAGGGAGGATAGAGATAAATCAGTTGTGTGACAAAAAGGTTTGGTCATAAAGCTGCCAGAGCTCTGTGCTGATGGAGACCTTGGAGGGAAGTGAACTCTGCTTTCCACAACTCCTCAACACTTCCTGCAGGAAGATTGGGGGTGCTCACTTTGAGACCATGCTGATTAACATTCTGCTGTCCTCCATCTCTCTGATCACTGCAGTTCTTAACCTGCTGGTCATCATCTCTATCTCCCACTTCAAGTAGATAATCATTCATTTATGAAATGGACAGAAAGTAAAAAAAAAAAAAATTTGGCTGATCTTAGGAAAAGAATAATTTTCGAACTAATCTAATTATATTTCAGTCTTTGCTCTATCTGTTTCTGTTTAAACAATGATTGATATTATAACTAATGATAACTATATTGCTGGTCTTCCTCTCCAGGCAGCTCCACACCCCCACCAACTTCATCCTCCTCTCTCTGGCTGTCTCAGATTTCTTCGTGGGTTTCATAATGTGCTTTCAAATTATGTACTTAGATGGCTGCTGGTTCTTTGGTGACCTCATGTGTGCATTTGGTCAGTATCTAGTATACGTAGTTACCTCTGCCTCAGTTGGAACCATGGTGATTATATCTGTTGACCGTTATGTTGCTATTTGTCATCCTCTGCATTACTCCACCAAAGTCACAGAAAAAAGAGTTATAGTCTGTATTTGTCTGTGTTGGATATGGCCTCTAATCATTCAAGGTCTGAGTCTAATTGATGTCCTGGAACAACCAGGCAGGTATAACTCCTGTGTTGGAGAGTGTATCATTGTTGTTAACTATATAGCTGGATTTGTAGATCTTATTTTTACCTTCATCGTTCCCATTACTGTCATTGTAGTTCTGTATATGAGAGTTTTTGTGGTGGCTGTGTCTCAGGCTCGTGCCATGCGGTCACATATTGCAGCTGTCACACTCCAGAAATCAGTGAAAGTAACTGCTAAAAAATCTGAAATGAAAGCAGCCAGGGCTCTTGGTGTTGTTGTAGTTGTGTTTCTAATATGTATCTGCCCATATTATTGTGTTGCTATTACAGGCCAAGATAACTTACTCAATGTTTCATCTGTTGGCTTGATAATATGTTTGCTGTGTTTAAACTCCTGTCTAAACCCCATGATCTATGCCTTTTTTTATCCCTGGTTTAGAAAATCCATTAAGCTCATTGTTACATTAAAGATACTGCAGCCTGACTCCTGTGAGACCAACATACTGTAGAGAGACTCTGTGTAATGCCTGAGATTTGTCTTTGCATTAATAGAAAAATTTACTTGGTCATGGAAATTGCCATTCTGTTTATTAATATAACAGTGGAGCTATTTGGGGTTTGTCCATCTGCATGTATTTTGGACAAATCACCACGTCTAGGATTCACTGTACAGTCTGTAGGTATCAGGACTGTGACACATTTTTGTTATGCTGACTGTATGCTTAAGCACAGTGGATGTGGAAGTTTTATATCCACATTAAAAGAAAAGTGTAGGCAGTTGTACCCTGTATTATACATGACTGAAGTCTGGGACCCACAGACATTAGCCGATACTTTGTATTGTATCTACCTGGAGATGTTGTGCCAGGCCTGTAATGCAGCCATTTTGTATGTGAACACCTTTAAATACAAGCCCATTTAAAGCTAAGAGTCAGCAATTAATAGTAACCTCAGAAGCTGAAGAAATACAGAATATATTTTTTATCATCATTAATTTGTGGCATACAGGCCAATTTAGCACAACCTTTGACTTATATTATATTGTCTTTTACTTGTTCTGATTTCTTGCATTGTACAGGCTAGAAGAGAAAAGTTAATGAAAAAGAAGGATATACTATATATAATATACACTCCATCTGCAAGGAATTGTTTATCAGCTTCATAAATTAAAAAAGGTCCAGTGTGTAACATTTAGAAGGATCTATTGTCACAAACTGACAACAATGCCAGTAAATCTTTCACAGTGGACCTTTAACTAAGTGATTCCATAAAAAACTCCTGAATCCTGACAAACATACATATCACTCGCAGACCAAAAGTTAATGTCGCATACAGCCTTGGAATTGAACACAAATAATGTGAGCACCACTACAGTTTGCATATTTTCCTAACAATGATGACAACGACAGTCTGCTAGTCGGCCCACCACTGTGGTCCAGAGTGAAATATCTCAACAACCCCTGATTGATTGCCATGAAGTTGTGTATTTACATTTAAGTTGTACAATTGGTGAGAT